CTTGCAAGAGACAGAGGAAAGTTCGAATTATAGAGGTAGATGGACAGATGCCTGCTGATATTGAGGGCACCATTAGAAAGATAATAAAAGTGGTGTTGCCTGAGAGAAAACGAATAAGATGCTGGAACTGTGGGAAAATTGTGTATGTGCGTAGCAAATGTCCAGCATTTAAAAAATCAACATCAAATCAGAAAAACTAGAGGTTTTCGATGAGAAGGAGCATTTGACGACCTGTACTCAGCAAGCCCCCGTAAAAAACGCATACTTTGCGTTTTTTACGAAAAGACAAAGGTGTTTCCGTAGACGGCTTCATCAACAACGAACCTTGTACCATGCTGCTAGGTACAGGTGCGACGAAAATAGTTCTTGGGTCATCCTTTGCCAAAATACCGGCAAGAATTGAACCTTCAAGTTGGAAGCTACGCACCGCAACAGGGGAGCCAGCCACCGTACTTGGAGAACTACAAATTAAATTAATGTTGGTCAGCACTAAACTGAACCATCGAGCATTGGTTGTGGACATCGAGGACGATTCGATCATTGGAATTGACATAATGAATTCCAGAGGGTTCGAGCTGACTTTTAAAGACGGCATCCTACGTGTTGGCGGAGAAGAGCTGGTGCTTCATGGAAGAAGCGAAGAGATGATCAGAGTCCTGTTGGCTGAAGACGTGTGCGTACCTGAGAGGGCAGTGTGAGCAGCGGAAAGGTGGTAATGTTCGAGCCTGAAATACACGATGAGAAAATTGGACGAGAAATCGCACTGGGGAAGACCCCGTTGCGTATTAATGAAGTTGTGCCGGTCAGGGTGATGAATGTCAACTACTTTCCTGTGACCTTGAGAAAAGAACAATGCTGGGGCACTGTTCGTCCATTTCCTCTGTGATACGGAGTGTACACAGTTCGGTTAGCCAAGCCAACAAGTCGCCTAAAAAGTTTTAGAAGTTGATTGACATTTCTTCTAAGGACATACCACCCAACTCACCGATCAAAATTGAAGGAGTTAGTCAAGAAGTACCAGGAAATCTTCGATATTGGAGAAGGCGGTGGAACGAATGTGGTTCAGCATAGAATCGATACTGGGAATGCCCAATCAATCCGGCAATCAGCTAGAAGACTTACTCTTGCCAAGAAAGAAGAGACAGACAAGATAGTCAGCGATATTGAAAAAGAGGGAGTCATCGATCCTTCTGACAGCCCCTGGTATTCCACAATCGTATTAGTGAATAAGAAGGAGAGCTCGACAAGGTTCTGCGTGGATTATCGCCAACTAAATATTAGTGAAGAGGAAGGATAGCTCGACATGGTTCTGCGTGGATTATCGCCAAGAAAGACAGCTACCCTCTTCCAAGAATTGACGACACCCTAGACACGCTAGCCAACTGAAATTTGTTTTCGATTTTGGATTTGAAGAGTGGATATTGGCAAGTTGAATTGGCCCCTGAAGATCGAGCAAAGACAGCTTTTACCATCGACTTAAGATTGTGGCAGTTCACTGTTATGCCATTCGGAAGAAGGTATTCATGCGTGTGAGAAGTTTTAGATTGAAACTCAGTCCCAAGAAATGCCATCTGTTCCAGAAAAAAAGTCCGTTACCTTGGCCACGTTGTCTCTGTGGAAGAAGTGGTGGTAGACGAACAAAAGATCAAAGAAGTTAAGAATTGGCTCATTCCAAAAGACATACATCATCTTTGGAGCTTCCTTGGTTTGTGCACCTACTATCGCAGATATATGCTGGGGTTTGCCAACATCGCCAAACCATTGACCCGACTCACAGAAGAACAGATCCAGTTCCAGTGGTCCGAGGAATGCCAAGACCCATTTGAGAAGTTGAAAAGAGTTTTGATCAACGCTCCTGTTTTGAGCTATCCCCTACCGGACGGAAAATTTATTTTAGATACAGACGCCAGTAACGTGGGACTTGGAGCAGTCCTTTCTCAGATCCAGGAGGGACAAGATAAATTTATTGGCTACTTCAGCAAAACGCTCAGTAAACCAGAGCGAAATTATTGTGTCATAAGGCGAGAGCTGTTGGCCGTTGTCAAAGGTGTAGAGCATTTCTACAAATACGTGTATGGAAGAAGATTTCTGTTGAAAACGGACCATACATCTCTCAAATGGTTTCTGCAGTTCAAAAATCCCACGGACCAAGTAGCGCGCTGGATCGAAAGACTTCAAGAATTTGACTTCGAAATAGAACATCAAGCTGGGACTAGCCATAAAAACGCAAATGCCCTGTTACAAAGACCATGACCCGATGACTGCTCACATTGCCGACGACCAGAAGAGAAGAAAACAGCTATTCGTAGAACTACAGCTGCAGACGACAACTGGGAGGACAATAAGATCAAAAAACGCCAAGAGAAAGACCCAGATCTTGGTTCAGTCATCGAATGGAGGAAAATTATTCGAAGACCATCGTGGCAGGAGGTAGCAGGTTTTTCGCCGGCGGTTAAGTCCTACTGGGCCCAATGGAACTCCCTTACTTTGGAAAACGGGGTTCTGAAGCGGGTGTTGGAGTCTGAAGACGGTGGAGAAAAAAGGCGTCAGACAGTGGTACCCAGACAGGAGGTGCTCAAAGAAATCATCCATGATGGAGTCACTGGAGAACATCAGGAAGTAACGAAGACTGTCCAGAAAGTAAGACAACAGTTTTACTGGGTTAATTTTGAAGCCGACCTCAAGAAGTGGTGCAGAAAGTGTGCTGTATGTGATGCCAGTAACGGACCTCGGATACGACGGAAAGCTCCAATGCGCCAGTATAACGTGGGTAGTCCCTTTGAGAGAATCGCCATCAACATCGCCGGCCCGTTTCCAGAGTCCGACTATGGGAATAAATACATCCTCGAAGCCATGGACTACTTCAGTAACTGGTGATGGAATGGATATGTCGATTCGGTGTCCCATTGGGGCTGCATTCGGACCATGGCAGAAATTTCGAGTCCAACCTGTTCGAAGAAATGTGTAAACTGTTTTACATTCGAAAAATTAGAACCACAGCCTTACATCCACAGTCCGATGGAATGGTGGAACGAATGCATAAGACCATAAACCGCCACTTGTCCAAAGTAGTTTCTGACCACCAAAGAGACTGGGACCAGTACCCCTACCTGTTCCTGTTGGCCTATCGTTCGGCAGTGCACGAGTCAACCGGCCAAATCCCTGTCAGTATTATAATGGGCCAAGAGCTGCGGCTTCCTTGCGTTCTGAAATTTGGGACACCGCCAGAACAAGACACTGCGGGGGAAGACTGTCAGCAAGCTTCGGCAGAGAATGGACGACATCCATGAACGAGTCCGTATAAACATCGGGAGTGCCAGCGATAGGATGAAGAAGTCCTATGACATCAAAGCGAATGCTGGAGGATTCGAAACCGGTGTTTATCACCAAAGTTGCGGAACTCGTGGGAAGGTCTCCAGCTCCAAACATGATGAGAACAGAATCCTGAAGTCGGAAGAGTGTTACAGTTGAAGAAGAGTCAGAGAAACATTTTCTACTTGGTGACCAAAAATCATTTTCGAGACAAACCGTCCTACGAAGGTGTCTGAAGGAGTCTTACCTGACTGAGGGACACGATGCTCGACCAGTATCTTGTGGACTTGGCAATCCCGAAATTAGCCTCTGGGCTTGACAGGCTGGATTGGAGAATCGTGAGAAGCATGTTGGAAACGATATTCAGATTCAGCCGCATCAAGATTTTGGTGTGTGGTAATCATCTTCCATGACCGAGCATGAAGACTGTGGAGCGTTACTGCCATCGAACTTCACAGTGCATATATGAGAAGTCCTGTAGGTATGGACACACGCCAAGGATGACATTTCGGGTGAAACGTCTTTAAGAAGGTGGCAATGTAACGAATCTGAAGCCGCCCCTGACCAGTACGCCAGCCGACTCATGGAACAGACACATGACATCGCCGCGAAAAAATGCAGTCGGGAATCGCCGGTAAAATTCTTGTACTGAACCAATTACAGATTTCTAGAAAGGACCGTTACCGATATAAGCCCGTCTTCCCAACCCAAGAGGGCAGTTCAGAAAGTGAATCAAGCGGCTAAATAAGAAATTCAAATAGTGGAAATATATTGAGCGTTAGTTGCTAGGTGTTTCAATCAATAAATTTGTTTGAGACAGTTAATTTGTCATTAATTTGTCACAATATCAAGAAACATTTGAGTTGTTTATGTAATCATTTTTCTGACATGAGTTTTATCAATTGTTTGAATTTTTAGCTTCAATGAATGTATCTATCTATCTAAACATCCGGTTACACAGGGTGGTCAAACTTGTGAATTCGTGGAACGGCCGTTATGGCGCCAAAAGTTTAATAGCAGGCCCCTGATTTCAGAGTCGAACTGTTATCAATACAGACTTGGAGGCTAGTGAATTGAGAAATACTGAACTTGATTTTAATAAACCTTTGTACATCGGAATGGCAATATTAGATATTAGTAGACTTTAATGTTAATGGATGTCAAATGACTTGAAACACAATTAAAGTTTCATTTTCTTTCACACAAGCAACAAACACGTTGGTTATTCATTATAGCCCCAAATAGCTATTTTGTTACCTTTCTGTAAATTTATGGTTTTGCTAGGTGCGATTGAGAAAATATAGAAGTAATGTTCTCAGTATAATTCTCATTTCGTATGTAGCATTTGAAAATTCTAATTCGTTCTGAACCTTTTCCAACATTGTCAACCACTTTCAAACAAACAATTGCAAAAATACTTTTATTCACACAATTGTAAGCAGCCTTTAGTAGAAGTTTCCTGTTCAATGATGTATTTGATGACACCTAGGTCATTATAATTTCAATTGCCAGAAAATCAGCCAGTTCAATAAGATATTAGAAGCCAATTAAGATAGATAAGATATCAGATGTTTCAAAACTCGTTTAAAAACTTTGATTTCTATTGCCTAATTTTTCAGAGTTTAATTTTAATATTTTTCCAATAATACTTTCATTTTTATGAAAAATATCATTTATTACTTTTCTAGAGAGACACTCTCTGGCAAGAAACCAGAAACGTATACAGACGCTGAAAGAATATACATCGTTTACAGAATACTCTCTGCTGTACAATTTGGCCCGTCTCCAGACGACAAAGGCTTTCAGTTGCTCATTCAAGAAAATTTCATAATAGATGCATATCCTTTGCACGATTCCTCATATGAGTGGACTGAAGAAGGACCTCTGTCAGACAGACAAGTAAGACTACCTATCTCTGTTACTATTGCATCATTTCAAAGTAAGCTTTTAGCGAGGTACTGGGCTAATCTTAGATGTTTTTATTGTTATCAACCTCTGAATCTTATCGAGAGGTACTATGGAGCTGAAGTTGGATTTTATTTTGCCTGGATAGGATTCTACACCCAGACTCTCATAGTTGCATCGTTCACAAGTCTGGTGTGTTTCATAATTGGATTGATTTTGTATGAATACGATACTAATTACATAAAGTAAGTATATATTACATGATAGCAGAAATGTCTTTTGTATAAAGTTGTAAGAAAGTCATAGGATGAAAATAATGCTTTTCTACACCGCACTATGAATAAAACGACTATTTCGAAGAGGTCAACACTTCTTTAGGATGCCACTGAACAATTCGAAGAAATCAGGAGAGAAACCTTGAAAGAATATCGGGGTCTAATTTTTGCCAAGGTCGAAAGCATGTGCTAGACGATTTACTAAGACAACATGAGTTTCCGCCCGCTCACGGATATAGATAAACGAATCATTGCGTGAAAAAAGTCTAAACTTCGCCATCGCGCTAATATTTATGCCCATATTGGTCATATTGAATTAGATGGGAAATCAGAGAGCAGCTGAACGAAACGAACGAAAAGCTCTGAATTTCCTACAAAGAGATAATACATCATTATTCTACCTGCAGACAAGGGGAATATTACTGTTGTTATGTATCCCGATCTCTACGAGTGCAATATCGAAGATTCACAACGGCGATGGTTACATGGAAGAACGGCTATATATAATGTCACCAACATGTACATATGCTTGTCTTTGTTAACTGATTGCAAAGAAACAAATAACCTATTATTATTTTTTCACCGACACATTCAGGAGGCGCGTCAGTATTATTAACCAATGGCCACTCCCCACACCATGGGAAAAGTGATCATTGGGTCCGAGAATCATGTGCCCTATGCAGACGCCATGAGTCACGAATGACAGCCTTCTGCATTTGTTTTGTCAAGATTTCTGCATTTGTGTGGTGAGCCGGCATGATCTTAAGATTCGAGAGTATCTCGACCACACGTACCTACAAAGTCATAGGTCTACATGGGAGGCAAGGGTTAAGGTGTTTTTCATATGACCTGGAGCATGTTATATGTACCTCTCCGGAACAATAATCATTATTTCGACTTCCACCCCGTTGTTTGTGGAGTTGTTTCCTGACTTTGTCTGCTGGTGGCGCATTGGACATCCCACTGCAATCAACTGCAGAAAGAGTTCATGACTATCTGGAATTATATTTGTTTGATCATGATACTCAGACAGTTCACTTCGTTCTGAAGAGACCATGCCCGGTACTGATGATGGGGCAAGTACCCCGAAACCGGTCTATCATTTGGTCATATCGACCAAATGAAATTAATTTCTCCTTTTCATAGTGAGAAATAACTTGCGACGATTCTTCCAAATCGAAGACGTTGCACAGGTGCCTGATGGTTTTACTTCAACTCTCTGCGCGGCATTAGCTGGGTTAGTTGTTGTTTTTCCGTCGGATATCTGCCACACGTACTTACAAAGTCGTAGGTCTACATGAGAGGCAAGGCGTAAGGTGTTTTTCATCTGAACCTGAAGCATGTCATATGCACCTCTTCGAAATGTTATTCATTATTTCGACTCTCCGAAGTATGAATATGAGTATTAACCAGCTGTCGCCTCCCTACGAATGACAACGTTCAAAAATAGAAACTTGTGCGAGGGATTAAAGATGTTTCGCTTATCAACGTGCGATTCCTAACACGGGTTCCCAGCACGGGAGGTAGTGGAAATCGATAGTCCGACCCCTGAGCTCAAACTTATACAATAAACTCAGAGGAGTTTATTGTATAAGTTTGAAAATGTCCGTATACAGGGCGAAACTGCAGTAACGTTATTTACAGAAAAAAGTGGTAAAAAATATAAAAAGTTTAATTTCTCTTTTCTTAAAAAAAAATGTGTTTTATTATAATTTATATCAATGCAAGGTTTGACGCTCTGAAAGCCATTAACTAAGTATACCCTCACATTAAATATAATACCGGCCGTGCCAGTCTGGTACTTTCAAGACACTCACATATACTGGAAAAATATCAGATAAAATAAAAAAAAACTGAATAAACAAAATATTAATGCATAAAAGAGTGGTAACCCCTTGGGTAGACATATAAATATCAACAAACTAAATATTGACAAAGATAAAATATCTAACATGCGGATCGGGACCAGAAGTTTACATAGAAAGGGTTTCAGTTTAGAACTGAAGAAGACCAATTCCACCTACGCCCGTCACCTTTTGGAGAATGATCACGATTTCAATTTCAACTACGACATACTTCATACAGAAAATGAAGGAGATAAATTGAATCTGCTGGAATTTCTGGAAATCAATGAGTGCAAACATTCAAATTCCCTATTGAATCACCAACATGATGTTAACCACTTGCCATTATCGAAGTTTTTCATGATGCCAAGAATTATTCATATTCAAAATGTACCTGCTCTCCAAAAATTTAGATTGTAAGGTTTTCCAAATTCTACCTATTATCTCATTAACCATTAATCAATTAGGTGAGGTAACTTCTATTGTATATAAGAATTGTAGACCAGTGTGTGTACTATAACTACCGATAAAGCTACGGTGTTAGCAAAACGCGTATGAAAAAAAAATGTGAAAATTGCTTGATTATTATCATGAATAATATCATCATTTTTCAGCAAGTAACGGATCACTATATTCAGAATAATAAGAAAATGAATTATTTCAACCAAAGCCTCACACTTTCATTAAGTATTTTAGGAACTAGCCAGTTGAGGTATTCCAATTGAAACTTGCCTTTTTTTCAGAGATGAAGTTTGTAACTCAAATCAACTTATATGTCCTGTATGTCCTTCAGAGGAGTGGTGCAGTTTCAATTCAATTAAATTTCATTGCACCATGATGAAAATAGCATATGTTCTCGAAAATCCAGTAACACTAGTATATTCGATCTTCATGTCATTCTGGGGTAGGTTTAAATTCGTAACTATATGAAAATTTACATATTGAATAATCTTTTTACTCACGGAAGGTATAATATTCATGGTCTTGTGGAAACGGAAAGAGGCAATGTTGAGGATGAGATGGAATGTCAGCGAAGTTCCCAGAGAAAGAAGCGTGAGGTATTTGTTTTTTCTTCATAAAATGTCATAAATATTTATATAGCTGTTCTGAAATTTTTGGAAACACCAAAACGACTACTCAATAAGAAAATATATCGACACATAAGTGGGTCCACGATATCTTGTATTTTTATTCATCACCTGAATTAATTTGCTGATTTAGATATAAATTTCGTATCAAAATATCATTTTGAATTTGTCCCACTTCTTATGGAAACACCACCGTATCTTCCGTAATATTCGAGGGGAACGATAAAACTCTCAGGGCTGATGTAAATGCTCAAAATGCACCTACCACCTGAATGGAGACTCTCAGGACTGATGGAAATGCTCAAAATGCACCTACCACCTGAATGGAGTTGTCCAAAGTGATATACACTGTCCGCCACTCGCGATGAAACACCCAATTTTCACGGTAAAACATATTAGGGGGCAAAATAGGCTCAAATCAGGACTACCAACTTACTACGAATACACTTTTTTCCTGAAAAAATTTCAGTCCTGAAAAATCCGAATTTGTCTCACTTCTTATGGAAACACCCCTGTATCTTCCGTAATATTCGAGATGGAACGATGAAACTCTTGGGACTGATGGAAAGGATCAAAATGCACCTACCACCTAAATGAGGTTGGCCAAAGTGATATACAATGTCCACCACTCGCGATGGAACACCCCATTTTTAGGTAAAACATATTACTGCGCAAAATAGTTCGCTTCCAATACCTGAACCCCTTCATTCTATCTGAAGAGTATTCTCAGGTACGAAAGATACAGATGCTGTGAGATGCTATCATCCATTTTGAGCCTATCTGAGGAAAATGTCACAGCACCACTTTCTCAGATTATCGAGATAGTGTGAAGCAGTGTATGAAAAATCATCGATGGTGGCATCTATTATAACTGAAGAAGATTATTCGTAAAACTAATTCTGGTTGCTGAATATCCAAATTCTATCCCAACCAGAAGTGAGAACTCTCGATTGATGAGCAAAAACTGCAAAAAATGGAAAAAATCTATATTCAAATGTTCACATCTCGAAAACTGTATAATTCTGAGCTTTGGCTGTGGACACTTTCAATCAGCACATCAAGAACTACAACATATCAAAATTTCGGCAAAATTCAAGGCAAGCCATTTCTCATAAGAAATCTGCGGGGTCCTTTATCAAAATATTGTGGAAACATTCTACCATCTGAAACAAAATTATTCTTCATACTCATTGCAACACCGAAACAACTGTTAATTTTTAAAGAAAAAATCGCATTCGGTGAACAGGTAGAATTTAGATTATTTTACCTACTTGCTGAATTGTTGTCTGAAATCATTTGAAGGGATTGAATCACACCAGTTTCATTGAATCATGCGGTTCCCTGAAATCACCATGGAAAACAGTTGCTCATTGATATTTACTGTCAACCTGACAATATTGTTGAAAGATCTTGTTGTATTAACCCCCAGACCGGTTTTCATTGCATTTGTTGTTTCTAGTATTGTTGTTCTTTGAATCACTATTGTTCCTGCCGTGTTTTTGTTCACATTGGGTTTATTGTTCCTGTATTTGTGTTGGATATTGTTCCTGTGTTCCAATTGTTTTCTGTTCGTGAGTTCCTGTTCATATTTTAATATTTCTGAAGTTCCTATTTTAACTGATATCAGCTCATTTTGATTGACAAAGTTCAACAAAATCCAAATTGGGTGGTGAATTGTAGAGACCAAATATCTCAGAAAGTTAATGTGTGGTGTGGTATCCTGAAAGAAAATATTATCAGGCCATTTTTTTTTCTATCAAAATTTAAACGGACGACTATTTGTTGATTTTCTCGAAAATGCATTTTCCGATGTGTTGGTAGAACTACCTTTGGATGTGAGACACAGCATGATTTTTCAGTTAGATGGTTCACCAGTTCACAATAGTGGCATAACATGGGTTTGGTTGAATAGGAATCTACTTATGAAATGGATAGGACCCAATAGCCCTCTCGTAGTATGGCCACCACGATCCCCAGATTTAACTCCACTGGATTTTTATTCATGGGGAACCTTGAAAATGAAGTTTATTAGGATAGGCCAACAAATAAGGAATATCTCCGTGCAAGAATTATACAAGCGTGTAGAGAAATCACACCTAGAGAACTGAGAAGAGTTGGAGGAAATAATAGAAGGCGCATAGAAAAATGTGTTCGATTGGAGGGGAATTTCATGGATGGCACGAAAATATAAAATTGTCAACAGTTGAATCATTTGAAATTGATTGTTTTGTTTTTTAATTGAAAATGTGATTTTGAAAGTAGCACTTCGAAAGAATTTTGAACTACATAACATTTTTTGCCACAAAATACCTTTTTTTTTTCAAATGATGGAAAAATGAGAATATGAACTAACATTAACCATCCTAAAACCTCACTGATCACATGTTTCCGTTCCTCTTACAAAATTACCATTTTCTCTCTTATTGAGAAGGAATAACTTTCCTGAATACAAAATAAAAAATAAATTATTTATGTGAAAACAAAAGTCGAGTTTCTCTTGAACAATTTCGTTCATGTTTTGATGTCAAAACCAAAAAAAAATCTACTTCAATTATTAAGGAAGATACGGGGGTGTTTCCATGAGAAGTGAAACAAATTCGGATTTTTCAGGACAGAAATTTTTTCAGGAAAAAAGTGTAATCGTAGTGAGTTTGTAGTCCTGATCACGAATCTGAAGGAATTTTGAGCCTATTTTGCCCCCTGATATGTTTTATCGTAAAAATGGGGTGTTCCATCGCGAGTGGCGGACAGTGTATATCACTTTGGCCAACCCCATTTGGGTGGTAGGTGCATTTTGAGCATTCTCATCAGTCCTGAGAGTTTTATCGTTCTACCTCGAATATTACGGAAGATACGGGGGTGTTTCCATGAGAAGTGAGACACACTGTATATATAGATTGGCTTCTCATTTGTTAAAACAGAAATTATTTATGTATAAAAAATATGTTGAAATTTATTTCGTGTTTAGACTCAAACAACGATAAAAATAAAACAACAATAAAAATAAATTGGCGCTCCGGGGCGACTTCATTGATTCCAATGGCGCATTTGCTTTTTCAGCTGCAGGAAAAAACCGGAAAAACCTGCAGCACCACATCATCTGAAGATCTTGATCTTCCAATATTCTCTCTCTCATAAAATAAAATGTAGGGTGGCTTCAATAGATTCAATACATCGCTAGAACATTTCGTGACACGACTATCGTCAAACTTAAACTGGTCCGTTTCGTCTTTGACCAAGGCGTAATAATGACCAAATTCAACGCCAGAACCACAGTGAACAATGACTGCATGAATATTATAATAGTGGTCTACTAGATTGAAATGTTTATCTATTCCAAACCTTCGAAAGAGTTTCTTGCTTCCGTCAGAGGTTGAGTCTTGTTTGAAGATCATCAGTGTTATTATTAGATTGACTGGTGCCTCAGCTATACTTGTTTCCGTATTGGCGCATGTTTGGCAATACAGTCGATCATCAACTGTTAAAAATTCAATTTTCAGATGATTCAACAACAACTTTTTCACGGACAGGAAGCGCTAGATGAAGTTCCAGAAATTCACATAAGTTTTTGCTACCTCTTGAACATTTACTACAAAGTAAACAAGTGAGGATTTTTCCAGCAAAAGATTTACAAACACAAGACGAGATGGACTGTACGAAATCATTCGATCCAGAGCGGTCAGGAGTATTGATTCTGCTATTGTTTTGCTCACGAAGAGTATTCAACAAGAACCCTAAAAATTCGGAACAATCCTCTTGTTGTCCTAACGAGTATCTGGTGGACTATCGGGTGGGAAATCGGGTGGAGGGAAAGATGATACATTGAACTTGTGTATATATGAAAGAATTTCATAAACTACACCTTACGATTTGATTTCTACAAACTTTATTTGAGAAATATATCACGACATGTTTCGCTAACACAGTAGCTTCTTCAACAGTCATTTGAATACTACAAGTTGCTTCTTACGCTAATATTTATATACCACAGGTAACTATAATTGAGACTACCTCAATCAAATTACCTAAACCTCTACAACGTTTATATACCTGAGGTACTTCTTCAATTATGATTACCTGAAGCATATTACCTCACTTCTACTCATTTTTTTAAAGAAAACAAGTTCAATAATGGTGATCTATTCTAATCCATTTGGTCATTCATTAGAATGTTTGAATTTTTAAGTTCAATAATTTCTATTGCTTCCAAGTGATTCAGTTTCAAACCTCTATTTTATATGTATAAAATTTCGAACTCTTCGTTAAAGATATGATTTTCTTCTAAAAGATGATTTGAATATGTTGAACTTGTTTTCTTATTTGCATAGCTCATATGATGTTCCTGGATTCGATTCCTAAATGATTTGCCAGTTTGACGAATAAATACCTCAGGACACGTTCCACACTTTAATTCATTCACCCCTCGAATTTGGATATCTTGTCTTTATTATTTTTAATTAACTTTCCCAACGCAATTTTAATATCTCGTTTCCTCGTGAAGAAAAAAAAATACGAATAATATTACAACTATCTGCCAACAAAAACTGTGTGAAAATCAAATATTACTTCAATTAAATTCAGTTACTTTTCAATTCAATTAATGTTTATCTCGTGATAGGACGAAATGCTCCTCTGATTATATTTTGTGAGTCGTTAGTTTTTCGCAGTGAATTCATCTTCAATGTGACATTGCAGGCCCCCAGACCTGCATCTGTTGTAGTTTCCCGTGTTCTTGAATGACGTACGTTCCGTGAATCAGGATAGCGAACGGCATACATTCTATTGATTGAAAATAGTATATGAGAGACTTGAGGAAACGTGCAGAATGAGAAAAATAAATTAGCCCTGATAGTTTGAGTCATTAAACATTCTCATATTAATACGAAATAATTTGCAAGAGAGCTGAAGTCATACTTCCGTGAACATTATAATATCAAATTGAATTAAATTCATAAGTAATCAAAATTATGAAATATGTTTTGTTTAGTGACGATTGAACATTAAAAATTAATTGCATGGCTAATAGATACTCCTGCTCACTACCACTTTGATTGAAAAATGGATGAAGACATTTACATAGATTTCCACCGAATGTATTCACTAACTTTATCGAAGGATGTGTCGATTGATATATGACGTAGATTATAAAACCAAAATGATGGCGAAAGTTTGACTCAGAGTAGAATAACAGTTTTCCTTTTCCACTTTATTTGAAGTGTGTGTGTGTGTGTGTGTGTGTGTGTGTGATGAGTTCAAATGGCGTTGGTATAACCAATTTGCCAGTTTATTTTAACATGTAAAATTTCTACATTATTTTGATATTTTATAGATTTATAATTACATTGCGTGTCTAGTTCGCATTCTGCAGATTGATCTGATGAAGTTTCTGTTAATTTCATATCTGTACCACGGAGACTTTTGCGGATATTCCTGAATTATCCTATATCCTGACCAGAAGTTGATCCAGAGTATAATTCCTGCCAGTGATATAATATTTCTTCCCTAAACACTTTATTTGAAGTTCAAACAGAAATTGTATAAAGATTCAATTCGTGTATGACACAAAATGAGAGATTGCTTGACATCTGCCGATTTGAAGTGATTTTGTCACTGGTTTTTTCAGCACTGAATACAAAAATTGTTATTGTTTTATTTTGAAGACTTTTCTATATCTCTCAAGAGCTTTATACAGGGTGTTTGGTAGCTCGGTGCAAACCTTTAAGGGGGTGATACACTAGCCCATGTAGAACATATTCATACAAACATTTTTATTTTCTAGCGAGTTTTTGATTTTGAGGGAACTTTTACGATTTTTAGTACAAAAACCCAAAATTGGTCAATTAAATGCTAATAACTTCGAATCTTAACAGAAATGTCCGGTTTTTTGAATTTATTTTAGTAGTCTTATGTGTCCCCAATCGTACTAAAGTAGTTTGAAGCACCATTGTGTCCAAAAAAGTTATGTACAGAGCATTTAAACTTCACAAAAAAAGAAAGAAAATAAAAAATCTGACCTTTGATGCCAATTAAAAAATAAATAAAATACATACAGGTGTTCAGACACCTTTAAAAATATGCTTAGTTATTGCTCTTCCGTTTGAGGTATCATTTACCTAGCTAAGTCTTAAACTTTTTTAATTAGGGTACCTGAACCAGTTAAAGGTCGTAAATATGGATATTTGAAAAATTAAAAAAAAACGTAATTTAAATGAAATTCAGCTCAAAAACCTTTAAACGAAAATCCTAAAGCAATATGCGATATTATTTTCAGTCTTACATGGAATAATAAGAAACTTAGCCCAACTTGAATGAAGAGAAAACTGAACAAAGGCCGGTGCCGGTGGCATTTTACAACAAAGAATTTGACCTGAAGCTAGTCATTAATTGGAATGCATTCTGTTGTTATGATTTAGACCTTATGCTAGGGCCATAAACTTGCCTTTGAGTTTATAAATTTTTAGGTACCTGAGTTGAGTAATCATCTTGGACCCCTCGCCGGGTCGGTTTGGTTGGTCAAACAAGTTCTCTAGTCACTGCTTTGCCCTTTCGAGTTGCGAGAAGACGTTGGTTTTGTGTTCCCCATTTTTGTAATTCACCGTGTTCGGTTGTAGCCTTTCGCTCCTGCAGGTGTTGTTTATTTTGGACTATCGAACTTTTTGTTGTGTGTGCTGCCATGGCTGAGTTTACGAGTCATGAACAAGCCGATATCATTTTTATGTATGGCAGAGCTGATGGTAACGCATATCTGGCACGACGTTTGTACCAAGAACGTTACCCGAACCGCAGGTAAATTAATTTCTAATTGTAGCGGTAGTTAAATTTTGCCATTTTCACCTTCAAAAGACGTTGAAAATGAGTTATTTTATTGCAGGGTGCCTAACGTCCGTGTGTTTTCCAACACATATCGTAGGCTGTCTGAATCTGGTATTCATCATGCTGAACCTGCAGTAAATCCAGGAAGACATAATGTTAATGTTGAGGAGCAAATTCTCGCAGCCTTCGAAGCGGATCCTACCACCAGCATCAGAGTTGTAGCGAGAGATTTAAACCTTTCGAAATGGAAAGTGTGGAGTACGATGCACAACGAAAAGAAATATCCGTTTCACGGCACGGGTGTGCAAGGCTTTGAGGAAACGAATCCGGCGAGACGGATACGGTTCTGCCGTTTTTTGCTAAACGCAGATATTGACGACGCGTGGTTCTTAAAGTCCATTCTCTGGACTGATGAATCGAAGTTTTCAAGGGAAGGAATTACTAATTTCCACAATCTTCATGAATTGGCTGATAAGGACAGCAATCCAAATTGGAAAAAACAGGTAAATAAATGATTTTAATTATTATTATTTCATTACCCATATTCAACACGTGTTTGATTACCTAAATTAACTAATTTTATTGCATTTTTGTTTCAGATTTCTTTCCAAAGACAATTTTCAATAAATGTGTGGGCTGGGGTCATCGGACGCACATTGGTTGGCCCACACATTTTGCCTGACAATTTAAATGGACAAAATTACCTCGAATTCATGATAAACGACTTGCCAATGTTACTCTATGATGCTGAAGTGCCAATATTGGACACGGACAGGCCGATCCCATTTCAGCAAGATGGATGCCCAGCACATTGGGCTGTAAGCGTCCGCGAACACTTGAACCGCTGTTTTCCTGGCAACTGGATCGGGAGAGACGGACCCATCCCCTGGCCTGCCAGATCGCCCGACCTGAGTCCGTTGGATTTTTTTGTGTGGGGTCGGGTGAAAGAACTCGTATACACAACAGAAATCACCATGAGAGAAGAATTACTTCAGCGAATAGAGGTAGCGTTTGAAATTATGAAACAGGAAATGCAAATGAAAGAAACCACAACTGAAGTACGAAATCGTTGTAGAAAGTGTATACGCAATGGTGGAGGACATTTTGAACACCAACAATAAATTTTTACAGTATAAAACATTTTTTCCTTTAATTCCACAAAAATCCATATTTACGACCTTTAACTGGTTAAGGTACCCTAATTAAAAAAGTTTAAAACTTAGCTAGGTAAATGATACCTCAAACGAAAGAGCAATAACTTAGCATGTTTTTAAAGGTGTCTGAACACCTGTATGTATTTTATTTATTTTTTTAATTGGCATCAAAGGTCAGGTTCTTTCTTTTTTTGTAAAGTTTAAATGCTTTGTACATAACTTTTTTGGACACAATGGTGTTTCAAACTACTTTAGTACGATTGGGGACACATAAGACTACTAAAATAAATTTTAAAAACCGGCCATTTCTGTTAAGATTCGAAGTTATTAGCATTTAATTGACCAATTTTGGGTTTTTGTACTAAAAATCGTAAAAGTTCCTAGAAAAGATTCGAAGATGAAGATTTATTATTGAAATAAATGTCAGCAAGATGAATATTCATATTCTTAGCACACCAGTTTTATGATATCTCCCGACATACTTATGGAAAAATATTTCGAGAAAGACTTGAATTAGTTATTTAGTAGGGTTTACTCCTGTTTTCACTTAGTAAACCATAAACTAATATAATAGGAATTTAATAATGCCACAATAATGACACAAATTTATTGGCAATTTCAACTGCAAATATCATCTATATACTATTAGTATATGTCAAAGATTATTTTCTCAACTTAAAATTGTTAGTTGAATGAATCGTAATTCCTAGAGTATGATATTCAAGAAATTCGAAGGTTTAGTTGATTTTTATTAATGAACAGTTTTACACAAACACACTGAGTTATCGTAGTTTTTAACAGCAGAAACTGAAGGGGTAACAGAGTGTTTTCAAAGTTTCAGAATTTAGAGAATCTTATCACCGTTTCATTTTGTATTCATTGATTGCAAACTTCTTCTTTTCAGAGCTGCTTTCATCCAAGCAGCAAAAATTCAAAGAGTATCATCAATAACAGGAGAAACTGAGTATTATTTTAGTTTTGCCCAAAAAACTATTTCTCACATAGTATCGGTTTTTGTATTTTTGATTATGGTAAGTTGAATTTAGTCCATAGTCCACTTTGTGAACAAAAGAAATAAGTCGGAAATGAAATGACAATTATTATTATGGAAAATAGTTGTGTGAAGAAGTTAAAACATACCTACTGCACAAAATCGACCGACCCATAATATAACGTTCTTACAGTTTCTAGCATATACCTTGGGAGTCGTTATCATTATGCAGTACCGATTGAATGTTCTGTATTATGGAAACAGAAGCACAAATAGCATGTACAGAGAAAATTTAGAATTATTTGAGTCGGTGACGTCATCTTTTCTGACCTATTTGATTATGACCTTTTTCAATTCTGTAAGTATCTACTTTCAATTTGATGTCTTTCATTTAGAATTAACGTGAATAAAATCAGATAGGAGTCATAAATACAAAGCTATTGTCATTAAATGCATAACTGAAGTTATTTAGACTTTTATTTGTCTAAGGATATTGACACATCTGAATCCAAATCGATACAGCTAACTAACTCATTCGAACATTTCATAATTTTTCTCTAAATTAATTGTTGTTTGCACTGATTGGCATAGACTACCTACTCTCTTTCTCTAATATCTGTCACAGTCAAATATTCTCATCTATTCGTGAAAGTATTTTAGTATTTTCGCGTTCAATTCTCGTAATTAATTCAATGCTCAGGTGCACGCGGCATGTGCTTCTTATTATATTCGCTATGAGCGTAACAACATAAAGAAAATCCTGTGAATCAAAAATAACTTTTTTTCGTTCGTAGCACAATTTTCTGTGTTCGATGTGTTCCTTCAGACGTTTCTTGAAGTAACCAATGAAGAAAATTTTTTCAATTTTATTTCAGATTAGGAATACATTAAGCCGAAAATTGACAGAGTGGGAAAATCCGAGGACCCAAAATGAATTGGAGGCACGCTATTTCATGAAGGTTATAATATTAACATTTGGAAATATATTCTTTCCCATCATATACCTCGCATATTTCAAAGTAAGTCACTTAGTAACTGTATAATTTGTTTATTAGTGAAATATGTAAAAATAGTAGAAATAAGGAAAATAATTCAGTTCGAAATGAAGTGCATAGAAGTTACTTTCAGATACAAACTGATAGAAAAAAATCCTCCAGAAACAGCTACATTCACATGAACATTGAATTATATGAAAGAAAGAGTAATTTTGAAACAACTGCTTCCATATTTTTTTCAAGGGTAAAACACAAGCACTATCCTTAAGGCGCTCTCAGAGCGGTGCCTGTGCGAAAGTAGCGTTTTACATTGCATTTGAATTGCTGGGGAATAAAGCCATTTGGAAAAACCTTCTCAGGAAGTTTATTCCGCATAAACGCAATTCTCCAAATGAAAGATTTCTTAAACAGTGAAGTTTGAGATGTACTGATGGAATCAAATGTGCCAGGTCACTTGAACACTTCCCGTGAAAGTATCTATTGAAGAGACAAATCTCCAAAATCTGTTCGATGTTCCAGACTATCAATGTTGCAAATGATGTTCGTGTCTGCAATCAGGCGGATGTCTCGTTTCTGGATGGAATCCAACAGCTTCGGGTATGCTTAGGGGCGAAGCTCCATGCCTGAGAACAGTACTCCAAAGGAGGTCTAATCTGAGGTTTATGAAACATCAACAGTTGCTGAGATGTGTAGGTACAGTTTTCTGGTTCGGAACAGTGATCCAAGCTTTTGAGAACCAGCTTTTGCAATTCCAGCGACATGATTGTGCCAAGACATATTGATGTCCATTTTAACCTTAAATAAACTTATCGAAGAAGAACCAGGAATTATGTGCCCTGACATTAGTATATCTGGTTCGTGGTTTCGTGGCATTGAATGGAATCTGGTTAGTTTCACCCCAAATCGAAATCAACTCTAGATCCTCATTAAGATATGTAACCTACTGCTGGCGGTGAAGATTTGCATCCACAGCCTGTATCCTGGAATCCAAATCGAATGTTCACAGAAGGGTGCTGTCGTCAGCAAATCAATATATTGGATTCTTTTTCTTTTTCTTGTTGATATACAATAGAAAGTATTCGAAGTACAGCATAGGACCGACATCCTGAAGAAATGAGTTAAAAAATAATAAAACTTACTTTAGACAAAATGCCCTCTTTCAGGCGAATTTTTACTAATACTGTACTGGTATTATGAAGATATTTGAATTTTTAGGGAAAATTCTTTTCACATCCGGGCGATATAACTCAGTGGACACTTTTAGGACTTTTCAAAGTAGATGTCTGTCCTTTGAGTGGTTGTTTAGTGAATTTAAGCATGCAGCTATTCACAATCATGGGAATCAATAACTTACAGAGGCTCTTTTGGGAAATATTGATTCCGTGAGTACAGGAAGTTCAATTTTCTTATTTATACTCTATTTAATTTTTTTCAGATATATTCGAGTTTATATNTACCGAAACATCCTCAAATATAAAATAAAATTCAATTCTTCATTATGAAGTGAACGTCTACGATCCAAAAACTACAACAAAAAATACAGGTCCGTATTTAAAAATTCAAAGATGGGAGTCCAAATCAGATGACACCCTATATAAAAGATTCATGGACATATTCTGATAGCTCACATCAAGTGCCAATAGCAAAATGTGGACAGATTTTCAATATGTCTGCGAATAAAGAAGATATAGGCAAAAAAATAATTGGTGAAATTTTTGTTTTTCCTGTATATCTCCAGAACCAAAAGAGCTATATTCGATTTTTTACATCATTGAATAGGTCTGTAAAATACGCAACTTTGCCACAATTTAACCGACACTCTATCTCTTATCGTTTACGAGATCCCCATGTACAGAAACGAATTTGAATAGCTCTGTATATATACTTTAGTGGGAGGACAGTCTTTGCTGACTAGTTAATAACAAAACTTGTAAATTATCTTTGGGTGATCAGCAGAACGGAAGTATACTCTTAGAACACAAGCTATTCCAATATTTCGATAAAATTTATTATCATCTTCAGGGAAAAGGTACAAAATTTGTATGATGGTGATAGAATATAAAAATTATTAATATGAATGGTCATAACTTACTGTTAGTAAGGTTGGCCGTATCGAAAAGAATGTTACATTTATACAATTGAAACATGTCAATACAATAAACAAGTCATTAAATTAAAAGAGGTTGACATCTCACTGGATACGAAGAAGAATATTGAAATAAAATTTACTAAAAATCGTTGTTTGTTGTAAAATTATGGATTACCGGTAAAAGCCAAAGAGAGAGACACAAAACAATTGACAATGTCAGCTTTCATGTTTGTAGATGATAAAACTATGGAACAAAAGAGAACTATTCAGGTGCAAGTGTGATTAGAGACATCTGCTGTTCTGTAAGTAACTCAATGAGAAAAACCCAAAAATCAAATATGTTAATTAATTGACAACATTCTCCTTGAGGAAAACAAGTGAAGGGGTGTTGTTAAATGAAAGTAAAACCCTGCCATAGGGAGGTTGGAAGTTTGTCAAATGAGAAAATATTAAAATGTTATGAAATTATATTAATGAAAAACCAGAATTTTTGTTGGTTTGGAAATTATGTAGATTTTTGTGAATGTCTAATAAAAAGGCATAGATTTCCCTGAGGTGATCAATGTCTGATCTTTTATTAAGGCAATTATTGGATTGTGATATAAATGACATTTCCAAAAACAATCTTTTAGATGTATTTCTTTCAGTTGTTAAAATTTTTTTGAATTATAGTCCATTTCATGACCTTCTTTGGAAACATGATTACTGAGAGCACATCTCTCAGGATGTAATCTACTATCACTTTTATGTGAGCTGATTCTGTCTTTGAGTAATCTTGACGTTTGACCGATATATTCACTGCCACAATTTGAACATGGAATGGAATATATTAATTGAGATTGAAAGTTGATTGAAATTTTATCTTTAAGTTTCGAAAATAATTTATTAATGGTGAATATGGTTCTAAAAGCTATTTTTACATTCAAATCTTCGAATATTCTGCATAACTTGGGTGTTAGTCATATCACTTATGTATGGTGATTTTTGGGTTTAACAAATGTCATACTTTCACATAAATGTCATTTTTCAATGGCTGTGATGATTTCATAATTTTTGACTCTAAAGAAAGAGTTATTGATTGATACAATTTTCATTATTATTATGTTTTTGATGTAGTTCCAGGAAGTTACTGTATATACTGCTGAGATTATCGATGTCAGTTTTCTTATTCATACAATCACTTTTATGTGAAGTTATTCTATCATTTAGAATTCTAGATGTTGTTCCAATATAATCCAAGTTACAATTGTTACAAGGAATGTTATAAATCACATTTGACATTTTTTCTAGTATCCATTTTATCTTACAATTTAGTATTGAAATTCTTTATAGTTTTAACATTTTTTTGGCATATTTTGATATTCTGTTCATTATGAAAAAGTTTTATGATATTTGAAGATAAATTTCCAAGGTTAGGTAAAGATTTATTTAAGAAGTTTCCTTCTTAATAAAATTATTATCAAGTACTTTTCTTGGTTATTCACATTTTGTCTTCAATAGAAGGCCGCCTGCCTGGTACTGACGATGCTCAATAGGCTGCAACAGCTGTCTACTGGTAGCTCTTGAATTGAAATCTGTATAAATTCGGTGTGAGGATACTAAAATTAATATTACTCAAAATGTTTCAAAAAGAGATATGAAAACGAGTGGAAAAATATATCTGGCAACACACATGGAAGAGACTGTCTCAGAAAATAACCAAGAAATGGCTTCAATAAAGCAAGTATAGACCAAGAATAATTTCTAAACTGCTACTGCTAAACTGCTAAACTGCACTGTCCTTCAGCAGATACCTAATATAAATAGTATAACATAGATTGTAAGTGCAGACATGCATGAATATAGTCATAGACAGCTTGTCAAGTTTAATGCCAATGTGAAGCATTGGGTCCCAAGATACATGCAATTTATGACCTACCAAAACTAAGGCCAGACGCAACCAGAAAACAAGTTTGTTGAAGCGAGTGTCATGAAAAGGGAAAAAAAACATAAAATGTCTGAAACTGCAATTTTTTCCAAGCCTCATAAAACATAATAAATACGTCAGATCTCTTCCAATCATGACTAATTATCTTGAAGTTTTGACAACCAATCTGTGAATGAGACTTACCTCAACTGGTGGAATATGAATTGGGGTATAATTTCATTTCTCCCTAATTTTGTTCATCTTGTCTAACCTTCTCTGAATTTCTCTATTTCTTTTCTGAGTTGTTCGATTGATGACATATTTATTTTGTTGGAATTCATATTGAATATAGAATAAAGAAAATAACTTTTGCCTAATTTCTACCAAGTTTATTATTTGTTACGACCGGTTTCGGTTTATTAGAATATTTTCAAGTGACTAAAGTTATTAGACCATTTTCAAGTAACTTGAATTACTGGAAAATGGTTTAATAAACCGAAACCTGTCGTAACAAGTAATAAACTTAGTGGAAATTCTATATTCTATACTCGTTTCTAAGTTCTGCGTAATTTATCTCACTTAGCTTTCAATTAAGATGAAGAATAAGATGAAGAAGTGGATAGAAATTATAATAACTAGAACCTATCTTCAGATTCAGATGTTATAGTATTTTTTGAGTTCAATTTTATTCTATTCTTCCACGTTTATTATTATTGCTGTGGCCTGTCATTGTTTGCGATTTTGTATTATCATTAGTCAATTCAATATCACTCCAGGGCCACATATAATTTTTTCAAGTTTGCTTTCATGTATTCAAAATTTACTTTTCAGTTCTCCAATACGCTTTCATGACGTTTTTCGTAGTAGCTCTCCCAATTGCTCCAATTTTGGCATTTCTGAATAATATTCTGGAAATCAGATTTGATGGAATGAAACTCTTGAAGAAGTCGAGGAGAATTATTCCTAAATACAACAGTGGAATAGAAACATGGAACACAGTTATGCTAGTAATAACTATTTTGGGCTGCATTTCAAATGTGAGATTTTTTATTTCACTGCGGTAGTATGTAAATTGTCCTCTTGATAATTTTGAAATATAATTTTTACCTGTTTCTTTTTTAGGTATAAAACTTTCCACAATCTGAAAAATAAACAAAAAACAGCAAGAAGGTTTAAGTTCTCCACAAAACATGTCTTTCAAAGAATATATAGTGGTTACCGAAAGTCGATAAAATATACTCAATACTTATTGCAATATACCTACTCGAAACTTATTAAATGTTGAAATATTGATAATAAGAAAGTAAGCAAAAACCATAGCAATGTTTTTTTAGATGGTATCCTTTAAAATACTGGAAAAAAAATCGTGGTAACGTTAGTTTGAAACTCCTTGTCAACTTGTGTTGTATGTTACAACATTAGTTGTCAGTAATTTAATTCAAATTTGGAGTTCGTTAGTTTGACAAATGATTATTTACGGAGATAAAACCAGAACACAACAGGAAGTAGCTCTCCTATTTCATGGGAAGTTTCCTAATTTACCGCCCATATCTCAAGGAACAATAAGCCAAATAGAGAAACAGTTTCGCGAGCTTGGTCATGTGGGACAGATAAAAAAGCAGCTGTCAATGTAATTAGTGATGAACTTGAATTAGATGTGATGCTTGAGTTTGAGGAAAATCCACATAGCCATACATCGATAGTAAACATATTAAAAGAAAATAAAAGGCATCCCTATACTATATTCAGGAGATCATGGAAGACAATTTTGATGAAGGAACTTATTTTTGTGAGCAAATGATGGACATACTATATAAAATATCATCCAATTAGAAGACGTTATGTTTTTTGATGAGTGTACTTTGTCTCTTAACGGTCATGCTAATCGGCAAAATTGCTGTTACTTTTCAGCGGAAAATCCTCAATACATGAGAGAACACACGCAATACCCTCAAAAGGTTAATGCTTGAGCAACGATTTCAGGAAACCATATCACTGTTCCCTTTTTTATTTAGAACAACTTGAATGGCGATGATTACTTGGGACTACTTCAAAATGATGTCATTCCATGTTTAGCAAATTTATATCCTGATCCAGGAAACCCCTGAGTTCCAGTTAATACGATATGGTATCAACAGGATGGAGCACCACTGCGTTACCAAGTTAATATCCGGCAATACCTCGATTTAACATTTTCCAATCGGTGGATAGGGAGGCGAGAATTGAATGGCCAGCGCGATCACCTGATCTTTAATTAGAAATTTTTTTATGGGGATATGTGAAGAGCAATGTGTAAAAAACTAAATCTTAAGATTTGAATGACTTTGTTAAATAATGTAAGAAGACAATTTTATTTGAGAGTAGGATGTTGCCAAGACGTTCGCGGTGAACATTTTGAACATCTACTTTGTTAACATTCATATATCTTTTTCGTATTTTACATTTCATTACGTTTTGCATTACATTTTAGTTTTTGAGTGTATTTTATGGAATTTTCACCTTTTCTACAAAACCCTTTCGAAATATAATTATAACCAATTGTTTACTAATTGAAGATTGATGAAGTATATTTTTACTGCTCAGTTAAAACTTTTTGAATTTGATTGGCTTCGAAAAATATATTCATACTTGAAAATAACAACCTGTCCCAACATCAACTGAATCTACAGAAGTGATGTTGATCAAACGACTCCAAGACTTCTAGGGTGTATATCGGATCGAGAACACGATCTTCTCAGTTCTTCAACTCTTGATTCTATTTACAATCTAATGAGGCTAGGTGGTGCTGCCAGAAAGTAATTTACTGCAACTCCAAGAGTGGGATGTCTCACAAATCTGCCTGATATTCTCGGGAAATAGAAGCAGAATCTGAATCAGTAGAGGAGAAAAATTCCCCTGAACTTATCAGCAAACGCTTCTATTCAAAAGATGCGATGATTCACCCAAAGTTGAGACAAAGAAAGCCCTGCATGGCTAAATCTAACGTAGTGTTAGGTGAGTATGGCTGACGATACGTTGGCTGAGGTTGCTGGTTATTAAGGTGGAAATCTTTCACGGGCAACCTCAATCTCAACTAATTATGGCTGCCATAGAGAATATTCCAGAAGATGATTACAGAGCTGTATATTGTGACCTGGATGACTACAGGCTACCTAATGAAAAAACAGTTTTATTTGACGTCATTCTATTGTAAAAAAATGTTCGAAGCAAGTCATTATAAATATGTAAACTGTTAATATAGAAAATCGATATTGAAAAATATTGAAGAACAAATACAAAAATATTATGAACAAATAATTTAAAGACACGCATTCAACATATACGTTGAGTCATCATGTTTCAAATTTAAAGTATTCCAAGTTGAATATAATTCACCAGACGAAAAATATTTGTGCATATATGTATGCCTTTCTCTTATGATAGTTATGAGTATCCAAATGTTTTGTGAATTAATTCGATTTCTTATTGAAGAACAAGAAGCACACAAAAATGAAACAAATATGGTAGCAGCATGTTTCTCAATTCAAGACAACGATTGGCAATGATCTCTATAACTCATATTAGCAAAAATTCTCAGATACCTTTTTTGTAGACTGAAAATTCAAAACAAAAAACACGAATGGAACAGAGAGAAGTAGCAGCTACTTGCTACAGTTCTCAGCTGACTTATTATTGTAACGAATCTGAAGCCGCCCTTGACCCATACGCCAGCCAATCCATCGAATAAATACATGACTCGCCGCGAAATAATGCAGTCTGAAACCACCACGAAAAGTCTAGGCCAGTCCCGAAACGACTACAGAATTTTACGATGGACCTTTTCCGATATAAAAGGCCGGCTCCTTGTTCAGAGAGGGCAGTCTGAATTCAGAAAGCGAATCGAGCGGCTAAACAAGGAATTCAAATAGTGAAGATNTAATTTCAGTTTTTTGCTTAATATAATTGTTATTTTTCAACTAATCTTTTTCATTTTTAACAGATTCTTTCAGGGATTTCAAATCAATTTATATCATTTGGCAATGGCAGTTCGAACTAATAAAATGCACCACAAAACATTGTCAACCACCTTCAAACAAACGTTTATTTCTCGTACTGTGTTCAACTAGATGTAAGTACGATATATTTTGCTGTAATCGTCAGTTGGTCAAAAGATTCTCCCATCTGTATTTGATTCGTATTGAATGCTTCATTTCTAATTATTGATTATTAGTATTACTAATATTTAGCCCGTACTAAAATTCTATTATTTCTTGAACTTCACCCAGATATATTTTCGGTTCGTGATCTAGGTATGCTTTATTTTAGAATTCTCCGTGAAGGATTTTCCAAGAAATATGGCTAAAAGTAATCGAGAAATTGTTGATACTTGCCATTATCAGGGTCACAGATATCCTCCAACGCATCCCCAGAAATATGAACTAACCCTTGACTTCTGGCATCAAATTGCTATCCAATCAGTTGTTTTTATAGTGTTGGAGGTGATAACTTGCAAAAAATGACAAACGAACTGTAACACTTCAATTTATTTCAATATTTTCAGAATGTTTGTTTACTGTTTTCTTTATTGTTGAAGAATGTGATTCCACCGTTACCACGAAAAGTGGAAATAAAAATGCAGTATGAACAAGAACTATTGAGAAAATCAAGACTGAAAAATAAGTTGGTTGAATGAATTTTATCCCAAATTAATGGTTTTTGATCTATATCATGTTCCTATCACCATTTTTACTGTTTTGTATGAAAACTATCTGCAAATGAAATAAATATACATCAGTATTTCATTTATATTAATGTACAAATTAAAATCTCTTTTATTATTGAATTTTGATTAAATTTCTATAGTAAACGGATTGTTCATGTGACCACATTTTAAAATTTTCTTCATGAAGGTCGTGGAGAAATTCATGATTTGATTTGTAATGGTATTATACAGAGATGGCCTGAATTTGTTCACCACTATGTGATACCACTTAAGGTAACAACACATGGGTTTTTGTTATTCACAGACTTATAATAACAAAAATAAACTCTGAATGGGTTTTTGATTTGATTTAGACCAATAACTATCACGAATCCTTATCACTAGATGTTATTCGTTACCTGTCAAAGTTGATGTTTTTCTGTGAAAAAATGTTCTTTTTGCATTTTAGGACTGAACTGATTTCTTTATTATTTTTGACAAATAATACTTTCATTTGGAAACGAAAGTAAAGTAAATTTTTACCGCTTATGACTGACATGTCATGTGACATGTAGTTTTTACGTTATTATTCATGTCGTCATTCGAAAGTTATTCAAACACTTAAGCATATCTTGCAGAGTTATGTGGATTTTTTAAAATAATAAACAAACCTTTTCTTATCGAAATAAATAAGAATTACCATAATAACGGTTTGTTTCTCGAAAAAAGTAAAGGATAAAAAATAATTATATTGTGTTGTCCCTGAGACAAAGATATATAGCATCGCGGGCTATATCGCGTAGCCCTTTTCGAGGGGTACAATACTGTAGTACATTATTTTAATCTATCTCGTAGGGTCCAGCCAGCGTTTGCAATGTAAGCGCAAGAATTTTTTATTTACGACATCACATTAGAAACCTCTAAATAATCATTGTTTATCTACTATCTGCACGAGGTTCGATCAAAAAATATGTGGCCATGATCTGACTTCATCATTGCTACGAGGAGCTCCCGATAAATGTCTCATATGATTGTGAACTGTTTAAGAATTCTGGAGTGGCCTTCTGGAGTGGCTAGAGTTCTATAAAGATTCATCTGTAGGTACTCTCAAAGGTTTATAGGGATTTTTTGGAACTTCCACATGAATCTTCATTCTATTTATGTCTGCATCTGTAATACTAGATAGAATCCCACTAGTATCTTCTAGACAGTTAGTTTCTTCTGCCTGTGTGAAATATTGAAGAGTAAATGTGTTTTTGAAAGCTCTGGTAATTTGAATAGGAGTTGGGTTTCTGGCATTTCCACAAGTATTAATAAGTTGACCAAAATAATTTTCCACACAGTCCTGATTTATATTCCTCGTCAATATGTTGGAGTGTCCTTAATGATAACATAATGATAACAATTCAAGTAATTCAAGGTCTGAATTAATAACCTATGATGTCGAAACAATTATTGATGGTAATGCTCTAAATGACGTACCTTACCTAAAATAGTCCAACAACTGTTTGCTATCAAGCTTTGAAGGGTGAATAAACGCCTTGGAGTGAGCCAATCCTGGAAGATTTTGCCAGAAGTCAACAAATCTACTTGTCATCTAGGTGTTCAATCTTTGTTTGGCAAAACCTAAAGCGAAGCCAAAGACAGGTTCTGGTCCGATGAAGTAGAAAAACTTACTGCCATCGCTAATTTTTTTTTATAATCCATTATGATTCACTAAGTGTGGCTATTTTACAAAATATATCAAACAAGAAATGATAATTAAAAAAAATGAAGAAAAGATGATTGAAACTTTCTATGTTTTTTACTACTTTTATTTGTAACTAAAGTTACTGCAGTTTCGTCCTATAAGGACATTTTCAAGTTTATACATTATGTCTTTATAGGACAAAACTCAGTAACGTTAGTTACAAATAAAATTGGTAAAAAACATAGAAAGTTTCAATTATCTTTTCTTCATCATGATTTCCTACCACGTAGTATCGGTTACATCCATCAATTTATTGATGATTAAACAACTATTTTCCTTTTGACAAACCAAAAGCGAATCGGTAACAATACCAGGGTTCAAGGACGTAGCCAGGGGGGTATCAAAGGGGATTGATCCTCCTCCCCGAACAATGTGAGGATTTTGTGAGGAATGAAAAATAAGATACGATATGATGATAGATACGATTTGTTCTTGTTTCGTCAATTCGTGATTCGTCAGCTGACCCAAAATTTCTTGTTTCGTCACCTGTACCTTTTTCACCTTTTGGCAGGTAATATCTACAATAAACTACACTAATATTATAAAGAGGAAATATTTTTTGCTAGAATTGAATATGCTCCGAAACTACCGGACCGATTTGAAAAATTCTTTTACCATTGGAATCCTACATTATCCCTGATTTATTTTTAAGGCAGCTAGTGTTATTATAAACAAACAAACTAAACTAGCGCAGGTGCAAAGATGAGGTGACGAAACAAGAACACCTTAAGCAGGTATATTTTGCAGTTGACGAAACAAGAATAAAATGGGTCATAACAGGTAAAATTTCCCTAGGTGACGAAACACGAATTGACGAAACAAGAATTGACGAAACAAGAAACTACCGTAGATACCTATCGAAATATACTACTTCTTCGGCTTATACCACAACAGGTATATGCAAGTTACCTAACATGCTTATCGTTCATTCAGCAGCAGGACCACGCTAAAAAAAAGTGTGTAGATCAACTACAGATTATTTTCCAATGTTCCTACATAGCATGATCGGAAAATGCCTACCAAAAACAAATACTTATTCTGCTACTATCACGATGGACATTGAATAATATCTAACATTGAATAATATCTGACAGTTACCTCACAGAAGATAGTCCTGCATATGCTTCTCGTTTATTTAGCAGTAAATTATTTGAGTCGACCAGCTCATGGCAGTTGAACCGGCTTCAACATAGAAAATAGTAGACGATAATTAGTGAATTTAGGATGCAGGATATCTGCGTAAAAGCGTAAAAGAGATTTGGAATCACTCTTTCATTCAGTGGCCGGATTCAGCAATTACCTTCTACCATACCACCACGTATACACATTGGCACGAAGTTGGGTTGATCTCTTTAATCGCACTGGAAAGTGACTCAAAACTTATTTAAGAAACTCCACAAGCCAGGAACGACTAAATGGTTTGGCGTTAATGTCAATTCACCGTAGAATTGACATCGACACCGAGAAGGTAATTGGTTTGTTCGCTACAAAGAAAGCTAGAAATCTTAATTTGATTTTGTAAAAAATGTTAATATTTCTGTAATAGTTTTCTAATAAATGTATATGATCATGTAACACCATTTTCTTTCTTTCGTTTATTTTTATATTTCATGTTTTTCTACTGTTCCACCAAACCAAACCGCCCCCGAAATTATTTTCTGGCCACGGCCTTGCCAGGGTTTCTATGCATCTTAGTGGTTATATTGATGATCTTTAGGATAAAGTATACGGCTATAGTAAATACCTCGAATGTTTGAAGATTTCTAAATATCGTCAATACGGATTTGATTTTTTCTAAAAATTAGTCACTCCTGAAAATAAATAATGTATAATAATGTATAATATGTATAATGTATAATAAATAATAAATGTATCAGATCTACTGAAAATACCATCCCACGTACCAGAACTAGAAAACTTTCTCCCGACGTGCGTTTCGCTAACTGACTTAGACTGGCTTAGGTCTTCAATGGCACGATAAGTATACTTATATTCGTCTAATTACATCTATGACATTAGGGAATAGAGTTTAAAGCAAGTTCCACCGGTTGATAGGTAACGTGACGTCACTAGGTTTGGGTTGGGTCCGAAGTGAGGCCTGATAAAATTTTGAATTTCGGTGAAGAGAATTAGTTTATCAGGTGATTGATCTTTAAGGTCAGGTGGTGGCAATGAAAATTTGCCAAACATTGAAGATAATATCTTTTTCTTAATGAAGACGTCACGAACTGTCTTCATAGAGTGATTCAGACGACAGTATCCTCTAAGTCGACATTTATTGGACAACGTTGACAACTTAGGTCATTGTGATGCACTGTTTGGAACTTTTGGTGTAGTAACTCCAGTAATATTCAACGTATGTCATTCCTAATATAGTTTGATAATTATTGTTTGGTGACATACTCTAAAGGAAGTGTACATGCCTTGGAATAGACCAAACCTATTAGATTTTGCCAGAAGTCTAAAACTATTCTTGCAGTCTGAGTATTAAGTGTTTATTTGACAAAAAACCTGCTTGCATCGCCCTCCCTTGCAAGAAAGTCAGCAGCTTTGGGCGTTTCTTTACTAGTAAAGATCAATAGCGCAAGTTTCCACCTGAAATACTGTCACATAGGTTCCAAGGCAGATTTGATATCTCTGCCCTGTATTTGCTATTGTATACACTTGCTCCATAACCTGAATGTGTTTGAATCCATCTGCTCTTAGTCGGGATTAGAAATGTTCAAGGTAGGTCGTTGGTGACATTGAGTTAGAGGTCATTTCCAGAATGTGTCTCTGAAATAGAACTCTATTTTGCATGCCTCCACTACTGATTTGTTTTCGTTATTGTTTCTGATCTTGAGGCAATGTCAAAACCAAAGTGACATTTGTTTATTTCAATATGAAGTGTAAAAATGTCTGATCAGTCATACCTATCATTGGAGAGAGTGCTGGGAAAGTAGTGAAATATGGACAAATATTCGACACTATTTTTTTCTGATGGTGAGAAGACAATAGATTTTGTATTGGTCTATAAAAATGCAATGGTAGATGGAACGAGGTTGGACTATTTCGAAACATATATTGATAATTTATTGAGAACGGGTTTGAATATTGAAGTGGATCCATTCACGGTATGAAAAAACTTGTTTGCACCTTCCTGAAATAGATTGACAATAGATTAAATGTAATTATTTTGCAGCCAAATTTTAGCCAGACACAAGTGTTCATGTAACTTCGAGAAAGATTAAGCAATATATTGCATGGTCAGATGTTATTATATTTCTCAAGAACATTTGATACCCACATAGGGATATTGGAATTGCTTAAAATAATAAATATGTATTGTCATATGTCGAATCTGTT